CTTGAAAATGACTCATTTGTCTGTATCTCTCCATCTGTATCTATGAGGGCTAGTGAAATTTTGTTGTTAAGTGCCACTTTTAAAAGCTTTGGTAGTATACATTTTGCTCAATTCTTTATTATCGTTTCATATATATAATGATATAAGGAAGGGTAAGAAAGGACAGAATTGCATATATTTCAGCAAATGCAGGGTGTGAAAAGATGATATGGAGGGGAGAGTTGGTGGGCAAGAGGGAAACCTGTTGAATCTCCTCAGCAAAATGACCTTTCTTCCTCACACTCCCAAGACAGACTGGTTTCATGATTGTGGGAGGGGGCAGATTTAAAAAGACCAGACAATCATTAGCAGGGGAGAACTGGTAGGCAGGGATGAGTGAATTTGTCCAGTGCCTGCATTTAGATACCGCACTAAGCGTGAATGTGCATGAACCTGGCTTTGTGGAAGAAGAGATGAGTGAGATGCATGCAAGCCCTACAGTAAGCCAAACTTACATTTAAGCTTTTAATGTTGGCTTAGTGTAATATCAGAATGCAGCCACAGACTTAGGGCACTTAAGTGTTTTTTTTTTCTTGGTGGCTTGTGGTTCTGGTTTATGCTTCTCATTTTTAAGGAATTCTCCCTTTTCAAATTGAATTGTACATTTTTTTTAGAATTTTAATTTTATTAAAAGAATTAAACTGGGGAACATACAAAAAAATTAAAACCATACACAAACATCAACAAAATACAACATGACGAAGAGAAACAAACAAAAAAGAAAGAGAAGGGAAGGGGGACATAAAAGGCTTCCGATTTTCTCTACATTAAATATATAATTTTGATTACAAAATTTTCCTCGCTTACATATAAAATCAAGGACTCTCTCTTTTTGTTTCCCCTTAAGCAAATTTCTTATACAGAAAAGCCCTGAATTGTTGTACACTTGTGACAGTTAAGACTTTGGTTGAACTGGTGTGATGTCATTGAATATTGCAGACATTCCAATTTTTAAGTGGTTTTGTGAGGTGGGTAGAATAAGGAGAAGAGATAACAAATAAGTACTAAGGAGTCCAGGTATAAGTTAGGTGCACAAGGAATGAAACAAACTGAAAAATGAGAGCCGAAGGAAAGGCTAGAGGAAGGAGAATGCTTCCAGTTTGGTGTAGTGGGTAAGCGCATGGATTCTAATCTGGGAGAACTGGGTTTGATTCCCCACTCCTCCACTTGCATCTGGCTGGATGACCTTGGGCAAGCCATAGCTCTGATAAGAGCTGTTCTTGAAAAAGAGCAGTTTCTGCCAGAGCACTCTCAGCCCCACCTACCTCACAGGGTGTCTGTTGTGGGGAGGGGAAGGGAAAGGAGTTTGTAAGCCGCTCTGAGACACCTTTGGGTAGTGAAGGGCAGGGTATAAATCCAATCTCCTCTTCCTCCTCTTCCCCCTCCTCCTCCTCTTCCCCCTGTTCCTCCTCTTCCCCCTCTTCCTCCTCTTCTTCTTCAAAAGCAGAAGCACAGAGCAGTGGCAGACCTACATTTTTGGGACCCTGAAGCCTGAACTGTTCTGGGGGCCCCTTCTCAAGCAGCAACAACAGGGCAACATCCAACAAGGCCCAAAGGGCCTTCCTCCCCTTGCCTGTGGTTAATTGTCAGGAGGAAGAGGGCAAACAAGGAAAGTTTGGTGCGCAGTTGGCTGTGTGCCAGGGAGTCATAGCACCATAGGATTACTAGGTCTGGTGTGTAGACTCTGAAAAAAATCCTGATAGTTGTGGCTTTTAATGGCACTATAGCACTGAGTCTTGGCAACCATAAGTGGAAATGAGGATCCAAAGCAATGAGTGGTGCTGAATTACATATAGGTTTGACTTAATGTGCCTGTTGTTTAATTGCAGGCTTCTGATACTGGGTTTTGTGGTCATTTATTTGCTTACCTGTATGTTGAAATAAGGAGCTGCGGTGGCTCAAGTGGTTAAGGTGCTGAACTGCAGGCTGCGGAAGGTCGGTAGTTCAGCAGTTCGAGACCCAAGTGCGCCGCATGACGGAGCGAGCTCCCGTCTCTAGTTCCAGCTCCTGCCAACCTAGCAGTTCGAAAGCAAGAAATTGCAAGTAGATAAATAGGTCCCACTTCGGTGGGAAGGTAACAGCGTTCCGTGCGCCTTGGTGTTTAGTCATGCCGGCCACATGTCCACGGAAACGTCTTCGGACAGCGCTGGCTCTTCGGCTTTGAGACGGAGATGAGCACCGCAACCCTAGAGTCGGATTCGACTGGCTTTCGAGCAAGGGAACCTTTACCTTTACCTATGTTGAAATAGCATTGTAGTCACGGTTCCTAAATGTTACAGTAGTGTCTACATGATCTTGCACCAGATGCAAATTAAGATTAAAGCAAGGATTGCTTCTCTTGTTGTAGATCCATTACTGTTTACAGGCACAAAACTGGTGTTCCTGAAACCTGCATTGGGTGTTTCTGAGCCGAATTAATATCTGAATCATGCTTTTTTGGCATAATTCAGGCATTAGTTAATCCGAATCAGATTCTCTGATCAGGTTTACCGATAAGAGGATCCTGAATTAATTCGGGAATCCCAAATTTTTCGGCTCCATTATACCCTATTGGGCCATTATAATCAATGGTAAATCTCCTATAATATATTGTTGGTTGGGGAGAAGGGGGTTTAACGTAGAGACATCAAATTTGCTGGAGCCTCTCCTCAAAAGAACCCCCATGGTTCAAAAAGATTGGACCAGGGGGTCCAATTCTATGGGCACCCAAAGAGGGTGTTCCCATCCTCCATTGTTTCCAATGGTGGGGAAAAATCAAGCCCAGCAGATTCTCCCAGAGAATCTCTGTAGTAGAAAGTGAAGTGAGGGGAGGAGGGCATGTTTGGAAGGCCAGCAGTAGAACCAGTGCAATATGCCCAGCAGAACCAGTGCCAAAACCCAATAGGACTAAGGTCAAATCTGAGAATCTCCATTGTTTCCAGTTGTGGGGGGAAAAGCAAGGCAGGCATACAACAAGCCCAGCAGATTCTCCCAGAGAGTCTCTGCAGTAGAAATTAAGGTGTGTGGAGGTGGCATGTTTGCAAGGCCAGCAGCAGAACCAGTGCAATGTACCCAGCAGAACCAGTGCAACTGTGGCAGTGTTAAAACCCAACACATTGCACTGGTTCTGCTGCTGGCCTTGCAGACATGGTCCCTTCCCATACCTCACTTTCTACTGCAGGGACTCTCTGGAAGAATTTGCTGGGCTTGTTGTAGGCTGTCTTGCTTTTTTCCCACCACTGGAAACAGTGGACGATGGGAGCACCCTCTTTGGGTACCCACAGAATTGGACTCCCTATGCCAATCTTTTTTAAACTTAGGGGTTCTTTTGGGGAGAGGCTCCAGCAGCTACTACAAATTTGGTGCCTCTACCTCAAGCCCATTCCTCCCCAGCCCACTGAACATACCCTAGGAGATTTGCCATTGACTATAATGGCCATACGGTATAATGGAGCCAAAAAATTCAGGATGCCCGAATTTTATCTCAATTCCGATACAATACCAATATTGGAATTCAAGTTTTTAAGGCGATTCCAAAATGTTAAGGGTCCAAAAACCCCGAATCCAAAAAATAAAATTTTCCCCCCTTGAACATCCTGAGTTGCTACTCCACTCCCACAGCGGGAAAAGATATGGTGATGGTATGTCTCTGCCCCTGTGACAAGCAGGGAAGGAAAATGAGCCCATCAAAAGTTTTAATGTTGCATTGTTTCCAGAATTCTGTATTACTAATTCATATTGCTATAGGGCAGAATATTAGCATCTGTAGTAAGATAAGAATCCTATGTCTCAACTTATTATGGAAAATGGCATGAAACAGAAAAGCATTTGCTCTTGTGTAATGTCAAGGGTCGTGTTCTGATACGAAGAAGATAGGACCTTAAAGTGGTCTGGGAAAAGCTGCTATAAGGAATCATAGAGTCTTAAGATGACCAAGGACTATTGTATGGTTTGGAAAAGAAGAGTGGTTTAGGTTCCAATTTGGACAGATGGCATATGGAAAAGAAGGACTGTTACTTCAGCCAAGAGGAATCGTAGCTAAACTAATTTTATTTACCCTGAAATGGCTACTTGGTGTGCTCTGATACTTTCTGCTCCTTTGTACACATAACTTCAAACTGCTGTGTAGCATATTTACACAATGCTCTGTATCTGAAGTTGTGTAAATTTTCAGTTGTTATGACCCAGAAGTTAAAGATTTGATTTCTGATTTAAAACCAGGCCCCTTTACATGACTTTCATTTTTGGCTCTGTTGTTAACTTAGGCCTGATATATGCATGCCGCGGATTAAGGTGGTAGAATGGGCTGGACCACTTTAGACTACAGGTGAGGAAAGTTGCATTTTTAGTGCTTACTCATATAAAGCCTCAAATAAAAAATCAGCACTTTGTAAAAAATATTCTAGATTAACGACATGCTGTACTAGTTTTCCACTTACAGAAAATTAAGGTATGAGATCTTTGAAATGTGTAATCCCTCACCTGCAGTCTGGGGTGATGCATTCCATTCTAATCCCCTCTGTGCTCTGCCACCTCATTACCACTTAAATCTGCTGAATGTCTAGACCTAGGTTGAAGGCGCAGAAAAATTCAGATACACCACACTTTAAAAGAGGTCTGTAATTAATTGGCATCTATTACTGCATCGAAATTTTAATTTCAAAGTCTAATGGCAGATGAGCCTTTGAAAACTGAATGATAAAGCCAATCAGATATCAAAGCAAGTAATTTACTAACTCTGGCAAGCATGTGTATGTAGTATGTGGCTGCATAATTGAACTGAATTACTTACATAGGTAACTTATAATAAAAGGCACAGTAATGTTCATTACATTATTTTGTTTGTTCATTTATAAAGATAAAATCAGAAATTTCTTGCAATGGATTGCAAATTATAAAGTTCAATACAGTCACCCTTATTTCTATTTTAAGTTATTGTTTAAATGTAATGATGACAGTCTAATAATATTTACATATTGCAGGGTTTGAGGAACAAGCCAAAGAAAACTGGGCATGTCAAGCCAGATCTCATAGATGTGGATCTTGTAAGAGGTAAGGAGAGATCCATCTATCTGTGAGAGATCCATGAATGTGTAGGGTTTCCCCCCTGCCCTTCTGTCCTACACTTCTCCCTGTTTCTTTGCTGCAATGAGGTCAGGACCAATAAAATCTTAGTAGGCTACCACTATCTGCCTTCTGTACATGACTTGTTTAAACCTTCCTATAAAAAAGAACCTTGGTTTTATCATGATATAATCCTGTATATGCATGTGTCATGGCAGACACATTGATAGGCAGTGTATGAAAGCTCCAGGTTGGGTATAAAATGTTAATTAAAAAGGAAGAAAATTAATTTTACTGTGAAAGAAATAGTAATTTGAATGGCACTGACAAGGAACACAAATAAAATAGAAGAATAGTAAAAAGTATAAAAATAAGTTTCCTCAGGCAAAAAGCCTTTTCTGTTTGCCCGCACAGTCTTAAACTTACATGGTTGTCAAAAAGTCCTTTGTTCTCACTTCATTTCAAAATTTAGTCTGCTTCATGCTGGATTCTGTGTTGTGCCACACAGCCATAGTTGTCACCAATGCTCCCTCTAAGCTGTGGAGTCTTGTGAGCAAAAATTCTACTTTGTTAGCTACTGTCATTAGAGTTGGTAGCGAGCAATTTGGCTGCTGCATAAATTAGTTTGCTCCTGAGCTAAGACAAAAATGTGTGAGCTGGAGGCTAAAAAACTGTGAGCTAGCTCACACTAACTCAGCTTAGAGGGAACACTGGTTGTCACCTAGGTAAATATCAAGAACTGACTGCCTTCACCACTCCATGCGTCTCTCAAGGGACACCTATTTTAATTTCTCATATCCTTTCTGTGTGATGGAAAATATATTCAATCAGGGCTGACACAAAGAGCTTTTTATGTAATGATGGCTAAAAATTGTTAAGCACCATGGTCATATCCTGGATACTGCCAGGACACTGCTCAAATGTATGCCATATATCTGTTGTGTGTATAAATTTAAAAGTTCATGGATTGTAAAGTAAACCTGAAAGTAACAGCTTGCTGTAACAGTTTTGCTATAGTCCTGGTCTTACATCATTATAACCAGTGATACTAGCTAATTCTTCCTCAATTAGTATTTCTCTTGAAAGTCAGTTTATTGTAAGTAAATACAGTAACAGTAGCCAAAATACAGATAGCTATTGGAATAGACTGTGCTGACCAGGCAATGGGGCATGATCACAGGTGAGATTGGTCTTAACATGGTAAGGCTTTAATGATTATGATGTAATTAGCATTGAAAATAATAGCCACAGTCAAATACTGGAGCACTGTGAGACTTGTCAGCATTGAGTTGATTATTACATGTAGCAAGGGTGTAGACTTTCCAATTTCCAGGGGCGGGGGGGCTGGGGCTGGGCCAGAGGCATTGCTTTGCTAGGAGAAAGGGTGGCTCCCGGGGGAGGCTGAGCACCTTCCTGAAAATTTCGGCGGGGGCTGAAGCCCCGCCGCCCCCACGAAGATTACGCCTATGCCATGTAGCATATCCTGGAAATGTTGCTTTTAACCATATTTAGTATACTCTAAATGATAGCACAGACAGACATACTATAAACAGATGAGTGTAAGATTGTGCACTCAGTTTATCAAGATACACCAGTATGTCAGTTCCCTCTCTTTCTCCATTGATGGCAAATCAGAAGTGAACATAGATCCATGAGTCAATATCGGTCACTTGTGGGTAAGGGGAAAATTACTCTTGCCAGAATGCTTTTTCAGATGTGGTCTGTTGCAATCCTGAGAGAACTAAACATAGGTTTCCCTTTTAATTTGTTGTTCTGAACTGGGCCCTAGTTTCTTGTTCTTTTGTATGAGAATGTATAGATCTTGTCAAAGAGCAATTGGGGGGCGGTGTATGTATGACCTGTGGTATCAATGTCCGGTCTGTTCCCCATTTTTATTTAACAAAATTTCTAGGGATGTGTTTTGTGCCCCTCAAGATAAATCCTGAGCCAGATCTACTCACCAGTAGCACAGCAGTCTATTACCCCGCATCCACTCCAAAAGTGCCTCCAGGTTCCTCCATGTGGTCCAGGGTTTCTGCAGCCTGCCCGGGATCAGCTAGAAGTGTGAGATAGAGCTGAAAGTCATCTGCATGTTGCATGTTGCTGACAGCCCAAATGTTAAAGTGCATAGGGTACAAGACAGAACGTTGAACTACCCCAAAGGGAAAGGATCTATGTAGCAGTCCCTCAGCACCACCTTCTGAAATCTCTCCTCCAGGTAGGACTGGAACCACTGCAAGACAGTGCCTCCCAATCCCAGCCCAGAAAGGCAGTCCAGAAGGAAATCATGATCAATGATATCGAAAGCTGCTGAGAAGTCTAAGAGAATCAACATAGTTACATACCCTCTGTCCATTTCCCACTTCAGGTCATCCACTAGGATGACCAAGGCTATTTGAGTATCATAACCAGGACTAAATCCAGATTGGAAAGGATCGGAATAGGGGGTGTAATTTTATTTAATTCAGTATTTTTCGGTTTGGGACTATTGGACCTGAATTTTTTTCCCGGTATTTCCAAAAAATCTCAGGTCCCAATACCAGTACAGTATTTAGATCTGGGATTTTTCAGAAATCCCAATTTTTTGGGGGTCCAACAGACTCAAGAAGAAAAATACCAGACTAAAAAAAAAGCTAGCTGATCCTGGGTCTGGCTTGGTTTTTCTTGGTGCCTGGTTTAAACTGCTCCAGGATCTGCATGCCTTGGTGAGATCGTTCCCTGAGGCATGAAGATTCTGGTTAGGAGGGTTTCTCCTGCAGCCCGGTTTAAACTGTGCTGCAGAAGGAGCCAGACCCAGGATCCGCATCCCTTGGGGAGATCGGTCCTTGAGGCATGCAGATCTTGGCTGGGATGGCTTCTTGTGCAGCCTGGTTTAAAACAGGCTGCAGAAGGAGCCAGACCCAGATCCTGGCTGGGATGGCTTCTCCTGCAGCCCAGTTTAAACTGGGCCGCCCGGGAAGCCAGCCCCAAGCCAAGCCGGCAGGAACAGTCTACTCCCTCCAGCACAGCCAATCCTGATCCTCGGGCTGTCTTCTTTAAAGGGACTTCAGTATAAGTGTTTTGGTTTTCCTGAGAAAACCTGAATACATTTGGGATGCCGAAATATACCCCCAAAATACCTCTAAGTTGTTTTTCGGGTGTATTTTTGGTTCAGGTACACCCAAATGCACACCCCTTGATCTAAACAGTTCACCTTATCCAGGAAAGCGAAGTTGTCCAGCCAGCACCGGTTCAATCATCTTGCCTGAGAATGGAATGCTTGCGACTGGTTGATGGTTATTGAGATCTACTGGGTCCAGGGTAGGCTTCTTTAAAAGTGGCTTCACCACAGCCTGTTTGAAGACTGGCGTGACCAGTCCCTCTCCCAAGGAAGCATTAACTGTCTCTCTGACCCAGTTAGTCTAGCAGTTTTAAGTAGCCAGGAAGGGTAAGGATCATACAAGCAAGATGGTAAGCTTCATATATATGGGTATTCTCTTCTGCTAAGAATTTTTTTCTACAGGATTTTTTGCATGTATTTCTGTAGTCATCTATTATATAGGCATTCAACAGCCAGGTAATTATACAGGACCTTTGGGAATTCCATAAAAGGAAAATATTTACATTCTTTTTGTGATCTGAATAAATGCGGGTTCTACTTATAGCAAGAGAAATAATTCCTGGACTTAAAGCTACAGTGACTCTTACTTGGGCACAATTTCCAACTGTTATGCTTTTTTCATGAAGGGGAAAATATACTGTCATGTATGAAGGGCAAGTGTTTTGCTGGAAGTTATGCACCCATTATGGTATCCATGTGAATATTTTGCTGGAACACACATAACTTGTTCTTAAATGTTCAAAAGGATTTTATTTTATGCAAGTGCAACTGGAAAATTCCCATGTTTTGCAGCTAAATAATTTGTTTTTTCCTTTAGGTTCTGCCTTTGCTAAAGCTAAACCTGAAAGTCCTTGGACCTCACTGACTCGAAAGGGAATTGTTAGAGTAGTTTTTTTCCCGTTTTTCTTCAGGTGGTGGTTACAAGTGACATCACAGGTTATATTTTTCTGGCTCCTCATCCTTTATCTTCTTCAAGGTACAGCTATATGACAAAATCAGTCAAATAAGTATTGTAATTTAAATAGCTAAACAAAGCATCAACTCATTTTCCTGAATTCCAATGAAGCATTTTTATTATTTCTTCAAAATGTCTACCCAAAAAGTAGGCACTGTAGATGTAATAAGGAAAAATAAGATAAATTATAGTGACCCTGTAAACAAAAAAATATGATAAAAGTTGGAAAGGGTTATGGTTTGGGATCTGATGGTTGATAGTTTTAGGTATTTCTTATACTTCCTTTCCAAAGTTTAAGATAGCTTATTAAAATATAGTGCAGTATCTTAAAAAATAATAATTTGAACAACTTTATTTGTGTTAGTATAGTAAATACTGCCACAGCTTCACTCATGGCTACCTAATACTTATTCCTAAAGAATACCACAATATCTGAAACAGTGTTTGCGTTGAAATTATTCATTATATTAAGCATTGGAATAAGTTAATTGTCATTATACATTGTTACAGTTCCTTTAGAAGTGGTAACTTGCCTGGAGGTACTCTATATACATATTCATGCATGTGTCAGAAAGAGACTGCCCAGGTTTGCAGTTATATATTGTAGTGATTGCTGGGAATATTTTTTTAGAAAGTGATCTTCAGCTGTCTTCTGAGGTCAGAGAATCTGAAGGCTGTTGCCAGACATGTGAATTGTAGGAATGCACCTAAATTTCATTACAATACAATGTTATATTATATAAACACATTGTTTATGTTTTATGGGCTCTAAAGTACATATCTAAAAGAAAGTGGTTTATTTGGGCAAATAGGTCATAATGCAATAAAAATTAAGTCCTTTAAGATCCATTGATTTCAGACCTGTGGTCCATCTAATCCAGCATCTCGTGTCACACAGTGGCCGAACAGTTCCTCTGGAGGGCCAACAACAGGGCATAGAGGATGAGACCTTCCCCTGATGTTGTCTCCTGCCACTGGGATTCAGAGGTTGGGTGCCTCTAGACACGGAGGTTCCCCTCAGCCATCATGGCTAGTAGCCACTGATAGACCTATCCTCCATGAATCTATCTAATCCCTTTTTAAAGCTGTCTGTGCCTATGACCATCACGACATCCTCTGGCAGCAAATTCCTCATTTTACTCACTCTCTGTGTAAAGAAGCATTTCCTTTAATCCATCCTGAATCTACCGCCCAATAGTGCCATCCCGTACAGTGGACTTAGACTGAAGTAACTCTGCGTACAGCAGCAATGTAAATGTCATGGAAATAAAAAGTGCTTTACTTTAGCTGGATCATGCCCATTGTGACAAAAAACTAATGGTTTCCAATAGGAATGCTCTTTAAATGGACAATCTTCGTGTCTTTAAAATTTTGCATATTTGTGTGGATTGGATACTTCTCATTCTTTACTTTTTCTTTTTATTCCTTTCAAAAGTTGCTGCAGTGGTATTGTTCTGTACTATAGAAGGGCCACATAATATACCTCTGACTGAAGTAATAGGGCCAGTATGGCTCATGTTGCTTCTTGGAACTGTGCACTGCCAGATTGTTTCAACAAGGACACCCAAGTCAACTCCAAGTACAGGAGGAAGAAGAAGAAGGTACAGTTTATGGTCAGATTAGTGGGCTTTGATCCTTGCATTTATTTCAGAATCTAAAAATCTTAATGATTTGAAAAGATTGGATGGCACTGATATTTTTCACTTAACTCTGAGGTTTTTTTTCTTTGCCATTGATTTCATTCAAGATTTAATTGTAGTCCCTAAACATTTGAGCAGTTATTCTGTAAATTAGAAATGGGCATTAACTGGGAAAACTGAAGTTTGTTTCGGTTTGTGGGGCCACATGAACCACATGAACCATTTACCACACTAGTTTGTTTCGTGAAGTTTGTGATATGGTAGAACGCCCCCCCCCCCCATGGACTAGAGATGCCAAACTCACAGCAAGTGTCCAGCTGATTCTCCTCTATTTTCCCTCCAAGTTTGGTGAGAATTGGATTGGGGAGACTGAGTTACAGGCCCCCCCAGAGCAGGTGCCCCCAGGAAAGCTGCAGGTTCAGGATCAAATGCCCCCCCTGCAAGCTAGAGGCAAAAGAGGGGGAGGTCTAGTGCCGGAGGGGGGTGGAAAGTTGGAAAACCAAGACAAGGTGCTGTGTTTCCAGAGCAGCAGAAGGGCTACAGAATTCCATCCCCCCATTGCTCTGACAATTGATTGTCGCCAGCATGTCTGCTGCACGTGCCACTAACACAAACCTCCATGAAAACCATGGATGTTCATGGGAGGTTCATTGCAGGTGTGATCGCTTGACCCTTGGCTCACAAACTGGGTGATTTTCATGACAAATTTAGGTTCGTGACGAAGTTTGTGCCCATCCCTACTGTAAATACTGTTATGAGATGCAACTGAACTGCACCCAGTACAGATCAGTATCTTTTAGGGTGCAACAATAAACATTGAACCTAATTCTACCAGCACTTAAATGATTAGGTAGAAGCATAAACTGCATAAAGGGGAAGGAATGTACCTTGTGCTTATATTTTTGTTCTTCTGGTCCAGCGATGTCTAATCAATAAAGAAAATACTCATGTTTGTACAATGTTTTTTAACTTGTCTTGTGTGTTGAATAACGTAATATTTGTTAAGCCAGAAGTGGTGGTTGGATTGAAAACACCTGTTTGCATGATTGTAAGAACACTAATCATGTTGTAGTGCTCGTGAATAACACAAGATACCTTCCACTTTTAATCTCTTCTGATGAAGGAAATTAAGGAAAGCAGCACATTTGGAAGTACATAGGGAAGGAGATGGCTCTAGTACCACAGATAACACACAGGAAGGAACAGTGCAGACCTACGGTACAAGCACCTCTTACAGTATTGGCGTTTTCTTCAGAGATATCTGGCATGCCGCTTTCTTTTTATCAGGGTTTGTATTTATTCAAGGTTATGTTTGTGTTAAAGAAGCACTATCCCTTTTCTGACCAAGTAAACATCTATAATTCCAACTTCTTCTGTGGATCCATCTAACTGCACCTGATTTCTGTAATTTATGACACTATTATTATTATTATTATTATTTCAAGCCATCCCTACTATTGTAGGGCTCTGGGTGATGTACATGGTATTAAAAGCATAATATTATCAAAATATAGCCTGTGACATTTGTTCTCCTTATACCAGTACATAACGGCATCTTTCTTTAAAAAAACAAAAACAACTTAAGTAGTAGATAAATAAATACTGATAATTTAGAGAAATTTTGGACAAAAAATGTCAAAGGGTGAAAACAATCCATAAATCTGTTCTTCTGAAGTTTCTTTTTGTCATAGGTTTTTCAAAGTCTGCTTTTGATGTTACAATATTTACAGTTCATTACTGCAGTGGTCTTCAATGCTTACAGATGTAAAAGTTACTTTTAAACTGTCCTTCCTAACCAAGACTCTTCTCTTCAAATTGTTAATTTCCCAAAGTGATTTCACTCATTTTAAAACATGGTGAACTGTATCAATTGTGCAACCTAACAGGTTTGCTGATAAGATAATGGGTCATATTGTATCCATTGAAGACCCACGCCTTAATGAAATGAAATATCTCTGTGATAAAATCTGTTCATCAAATGAGAGAGAGATGGTTGCTTCAGAGCCATGCCATTCTTGGTTTAATATTCATAGCTTTAAAACCCAATTTGCCAAGAAAAATCATTGTGTACTTTACTTTTTGAACTACAAGTCTTACTAAACAATGAGGATTAATTGCTTACAATTTCAGTTCAAAAATTTCAGGCAAGATCTAAAACTCTTACTCTCCTTGGATTAAAAAAATCAGGAAAGGGATAGTGTCATTTACTATGTGAATGTTTGTTGGTTTAGCATTATTACATTAATATGTCATATTTGTGCTATTCGGGTAATGCTGTTTCCTAAAATCTCAACTTGTGTTCTCTAATCATGACGGGTTGCTTCTGGCAAGCATTTTAAGCAATTCAGGGTCACAATGTTTTCAGTTTACATAAATTAGTGGGTGGGTGTATGTATATATATTTGGCCTTATAAAACCTATGAAAGGTACAAGAAAATTTTATATTTAAGTCATTTCAATTATGGAGCACATTCAGGGCAATGGGAATCTGGTGCATTTGCAAAATAAGGATGACTTCCATGTAAAATATTGACAATATCTAACACAAAAAACTTTTTGACAACTTTGTTTCCCCATTTTTCACCAAGGCCCAGAGACACAGCTGAAGCCTTTGTAGCATAATCTGAACCTGCCTGAGGGATTTTTGTTGAGTTTGTAGAGTTTGCTGTACACCTTAATGAAGAAAATGCAAAGCAAGAACTTACCCTTTGCTTTTGTCAGGTGTTTTACAAAATACTGCCCCCCTTAATAAACTTTATACATGGCACGCCCAGTGTTACTTGTATGTACACATGTCTCTGTATTTCAGATGATACACTCAAGTGAGCTCTGAAAAAAACTCTCTGAAGATTTCCTTTAGCATTTGTAATTTTATGTAGAATTTTAATGTGAGCTGCTTTTCTGAAATGTCCTGGAAGTACACTGGAGTGCAATATAAAGTGAGATGAAGAATGTTAGCAAGCAGCAGTAATTTAGCATCCAGTACTGTATCATGAGTGAGCTCCCATCTCTAGTTCCAGCTCCTGCCAACCTAGCAGTTCGAAAGCAAGAAATAGCAAGTAGATAAATAGGTACCACTTTGGTGGGAAGGTAACAGCGTTCCGTGCACCTTGGTGTTTAGTCATGCCGACCACATGACCACGGAAATGTCTTCGGACAGCGCTGGCTCTTTGGCTTTGAAACGGAGATGAGCACCGCAACCCTAGAGTCGGATTCGACTGGCTTTCGAGCAAGGGAACCTTTACCTTTACCTTTTTATTGTATCATGACTGAACCTTTCTTAAGTTATCAGCTGAGCATCAGTGATTTAAAGTTAAATGTTCCTGAAGTCAAAACACTTTAACTCAGTTTCCTGTTTCAATGTAAAATAGGGCAGTGAGTTGATTATTTTTCTCTTCCTTCATCAGAAAGGTCTGCAGCAATAGAAACTGGCTGTTGTGAAGCTTCATGCATTTATCTACTGCTTTTCTAGTACAACTGTTATGCTGCAAGTACCGCTTCTGGCTTTGCTGTCGGTGTGAAACAAATGAGAGTTTTTATATATTTTCCCCCTTCTGCATCAGTGGAATTGCAATCTCCAGATATTTGCATTAGTGATTCATGACACAGGAATTATTTGTAATGATGCTTTAGATTTTGGGCCTGTGTGTAAAATAAAGCATCGTTTCCATCTACATATCTTAAACCATAAATATGCAGATGAGAGCATACTTGGTACTTGTCAATGCTTTTGATCATCAACCCACGTTTATACCTTATTTTTGAACAAAATAAAAATTAAAGGATAGTACATTCTTGTCTTCAAAATACTAACAATGATAATACATATACCAAGCTTTGTTATCTGAAACAGGTACTAACCATGTACTTGAGTTCAGTATTATATGTTTTCCAGAGCAATTAATATTATTAAAAATTCTGATGCTCTGTATGTGTGCTGCTTTTCTTTTTGAGCGACTGGAAATCTATGCGGAGCATTGTTGATTCATAAAGGAGAATGAAATAGCCTCTGCATACACTGCAGCTATTGAGTCTGCACTAGAACCTCTGGAGTATGGTTCTGACTGCAATTGAGTCCACAGTTAGTAAGGGAGTATTCAACACATTTTGGACAGTAGTATGAGGGGCTGTTATTCAGAAGAAAGCCAAGTCATACTGGCGCGCATATGATTATGGCTGTACCTTGGGGAGCTCTTTGCATTGTGGCCAAGATGATACAAAACTCTCCACACTTCCTGTTTAGGAGTTTTCCATAATTTGTTGGAAAACTTGTCTTTGCTTTTCCATTTGTTAGTGCATCTGCCTTTTATATTTCACTGATCAACAAGTGAACTTACTGAGGATACACATTCATTGCATTGGCTTCATTAGTGGTCAGTTTTGATTTACTTTATCACTTGGGGGATAGTCTTGAGATAGAAAACCTCTTTAAATAGCAGTTATTTCAGAGTGGCCATCGTCCTCTTCCTTCTCTGATTCCCTCATAGGAGCTGGTACAACTTAACATGCATGTCCTAAAGAAGCTTTACTTATGTGTAGCAAGCTCACTTTCTCCCAGATATGCCTTTTTCAAAAAGCATCCAGAGATTTCAAGCTGCTAAGGTAACATGCTTTTTAAAAATGGATTCCCATATCTCACTTTCTATCTGGGCAGGATAGTTATCTCTTCTGAGCCACAAAGGCACTATTAGGGGTGGGCTTTTTTTTTTAATTGACATCAACTAGACTCATTGTTCCTGTTCACTTTTCTCTTGATTTCTTTTAGCTGCATGACAAAAGAAAGTAAGTAGACAAGGTATCTGAAGGAAAGGTTCTGAAACCACCTCTACTTTACATTCTTAAGGGCTGAACTCACTAGATCTTTAGCAGCAGGTATGCGGCTGGATGGTCAAAGGATAGTCGAAACAAGAGGCATTGCATCCCTTTCTAAGAAGCACCGCTGCCATCAAAAATTGAGGGGAGGAGGGGGTCCTCTTCCCGATGAAGCCCATTAAACAGGCATGCACTCTTCTAGAATTTCTGCCCTGCCCATAAAGGGGGTCTGGTGCAGCTTATTAATTATTTCTCTGGTGTCATTTTTTTTACTCTTGAATTCAACATGTACTCCTTAGGCTTTTAAAAACGAATGTTTCAGTTTCTAGGAGTGCGTCTTGAAATACCATGTGTGAAAGATGAATGCATATAAATTATCTAAAAAAGGAGCAGTATTGTGAGACGCTGTGCATAAATAGCAGCATTTTAATATTTTTTCCAGCCTATTAAAAATAATAATTAAATTCCCTTCCTGGGTTTCCCCTGCCCAGTTTCTTAAATTTTCCTGCCAGGAGTTAATTTTATCTAAATGTTGGGGCTTTTGTAATTAAGGGCCTTATTACCCTGACATGTTGCTAAAATAATGTGTTGCTAAATAATATTGAAGAGAAGCCAGGTAAGCCTGACCATAGAATTTAACATTCTATTTCAAGGGAACTATGTGTTTGTTATTAGATGTTCTGAGAGGGCAGGATGAAAAAAGTGCCAAGTTTATATGGCCATGACCAAAATGATGCCTTCAGAATATGCAACAGATGGAAAATAGTTTTTATATGTATCCTGAACCAATCAAATAGAATTTTTTTCATGATGTTTTACAGATTAAAATGTATGAACAGTTTGTGGCAAATGTTAATTTTTGTATGCATATTTCTGTGTTTCTGTTGTATATCAATTGGGGGGAATTAACAAACAACTAGTAACTTCATGTGTATGTTAATCCTAGATCAAACAAAGCAAAGAATTCAATAGATAAGTCAACAGAGACTGACAATGGATACGTCTCTCTTGATGGAAAGAAGACTGGTAAAAACAGCGAAGACAGCTTACAGTCCCATGAGGCTCACTCTGAAGTTATTAGATCAGAAGAAACATGCTGGAGCACAGGAACACTCAGAAATACATATAATAATTCTAGCCATCATAAAGTAAGTGTTTGATCTTTTTTTTCTAGAATGCTTTTGGTGGCTTATTGTCCCCACTTGTAGATAAGGATGCAAAATTTGTCACACTGGGATAGACCAAAAGTCCATCTAGCTCAGTATTCAGTTTTTTACACTCTACAATCTGTTCGTCTTGAACATCAAAGCTCTGGTTTAAAACATTCTGTCAGCCCAGTCAAGATAACTCAAAACCTCTAGTAAGATTTTCCTCTATGCTATTGGGTTATTTCCCACACAATAGCATAGGGGGAAATCATACCTGAAGATTAAGTTTTCTCTGGTAACCAAGTGAATTAGAACTGTACAAGCAGGTAGGGATGATGTCTCCTCCTGGCCCCCCTAGCTTGTCAGCCTTCTCTCCTTAGGGAAGGCAGGGCATAGCAGCAATGGCTTCCCATGGGCACACCTGGGCTGGGCAAGAGAGAAAGATGTAGCAGTGCTGCTGCGAGCTGCCTTTTTCTGTGACTGGCAGTGGCTTCTGTTGCCATCCTCCTTGTTCTATCCCAGTCAGTCATCCACTCCTATCTGTGTGCCCAGTTTGTTTCCAACTTTCCTTCCCTTTTATCCCCTTAGAAGCTCATTGATTCACAGATCTTGAGCAGCAGAAGATAGTTCTTATTTTTTGATGAAAGATGCTGCTGAAAGGGCTGAGACAGATTTTGCAGTTACTGGAGTAAACCTTGGATCCTTATAGCTGAGCAAAAGAGTCAGGGTTTCCAGAATGTAGGGGGACAGTTGGTTGATTAAAGGTTTAATATAGTGTTCCCTTATATTCTCAAAGAACCTGCATTCAAGCAGGGCATGGAAGGATGTATCCAGGAATATATCTCCCCCCCCCCCCCATTATGGGAAAACCTATTTATGGTGCTTGTGCATGGTTTAGCTTAAGCACTCTTCTAAGTTGTGGGGTCCAAGAAAGATCTGCTGAAAACAAAATCCCCAAATAGGAGAAAGTCTTGACTTGCTCAATATTAGACCCGTTGATAGACCATTGAGATGGGTTCAATTTTCTTGTCTTGGTGAAAACTAGGATTTTAGATTTCAAATAGTTAATAACCAGACTTTCTTGAGAACAATAATTAGAAAAAGATTGCAAGGCCCTTTGCAGCCCAACCCTACTTTGGCAACTGTTTTTACTGCCTGCCCTAGCAATGCTTACTGGGGCTGCTATGCAAACCTCCAAATGGGAGCTGATCATAGTCCAGTTTTGGGGATTTAAAAGCTCCAAGCAGGGGAGTAAGATTTGGATCTTCTCTTTATATTGTTTATCATCATGGTACTTGTGCAGTCACACATGAGTTATCATACAGGCCTGCCACAGAGACACTTTGAAGCTTGTAATCTCTGGAGGGTACTCCTTCCCCCCTCCACCACTGTGCTTTCTTGCCTTTTCTAGCATAAAAGGAGGGGACAAGAGCACCTTTTCCTCAGTTCTCTCTCTGCCTCCATGGAGAGAGGTTCCTCCTTTGAAAACTCCATGTGAAGAAAATTGCAGCCTTCAGCCTTTCTTCCTTCTCCAGCAGACCATTTTCACTACAAAACTGAATTCAGACCAACCAGCCACAAACAATGTTGCCCAGAAAACACTCTTTAAAAAATTCACATCTTTTGGGGTAAATATCCCCCAGACAGATAACCATTCTGTGTGTCTACTATGCCTCAGAAAATAGCATGATGTCTTGAGGTGCCCAGTATGTAGACAGTTCACTCCTGAAAGACAGAATGCTTGAAAGTTGCACTATGGGAAAAAACTTTGTCTAGCACCACTACCAATAATCATCCAGGCACCACACCAAGAATGAATCCAGTGAGGTGAATCTCATTATTTTTGGTTCCAATGGGTCTGAGACCAATCTCAGAGCCGTTAGCTCCAGCCACATTGTCAAAAAGGAAGCAATTCTAGTACCACCCCAACATCTCCAGGGAGAAGTGTTTCAGAGCCTCTCCCTAAAAAGGCTCGAAACAAGAACAAGCATGCAGAAAAACCATCATCAAGGTAATTGAAGTTGTCATCTTTCTCCAGTTGTAAGGCCACAGTTCTGACACAGACATCCCTCCAACCCGCTGCCAAATCCTCACCGAGTCTGAGAACCCCTTCACCATCAGGCCACTCTGATTTTTTGTTGTTGCTGCATCACACTGGCTGCTTATATTTAACTTACGGTCCACCCGTACCCCAAGATCCTGTTCACACACACTGCTACCCAGAAGTGTATCCGCCATCCAGTATGTATGTGCCTCATTTTTGTTACCCAGATGTAGAACTTGGCACTTATCCTTGTCAAATTGCATCCTATTCATATCCACCCACTTTTCCAGTGTGTTCAGATCTTGTTGAATTCTGTATCTTGTGGTGTGTTTGATGTTCCTCCCAATTTTGTCATCTGCAAATATAATGAGTAGCCCTTCTACACCTTCATCCAGATCATTTATAAAAGTATTGAAAAGTACCGGGCCCAGAACCGAGCCCTGTGGCACCCCAATGGACACCTCCCTCCATTCAGATGAAATACCATTGGCAAGTATTCTGAGCGTGGTTCTCTAACCAGTTCCCTATCCACCTAACTATCCTAGAGGTCCTGTCCACAGTCCTCTAGTTCACCTATCAGAACATCATGGGAACCTTGTCAAAAGCTTTACTGAGATCCAGGTAAATAACATAAACAGCATTCCCTCGTTCCAGTAAGCTCATCACTCAATCAAAGAAGGAAATGAGGTTGGTCTGGCAGAACCTGTTGGGGACAAATCTGTTCTGACTTCCCTGGATCACCAAGTTGTTCTTTAGATGCTCGCAGATCGACCCCTTTAAAATCTGCTCCAGTATCTTCCCTGGGATGGGTCAGACTGATTGGCCTGTAGTTTCCTGGGTTACCCCTCTTCTCGTTTTTTGAAAATTGGGATAACATCTGCCCTCCTCCAGTCTTGTGGCACATCTCCTGTTCTTCAAGAGGTCTGGAAGGTGATGGGCAAAGGCTCTGCAAACTCTCTAGAAAGTTCTTTGAGCACTCTTGGGTGCATACCATCTGGCCCAGGAGATTTGTACAAATTCAATGCAGCCAGGTGCTTCTTGACTACTTCTCTGCCCAAGTCAACCAGCAGCCCAGACGCCGTGCCTTGCCTACGACCATGTCTAGATAAGCTTGTTCTCTTCTTCAGGGGAAAAACTGAGGCAAAATAGGCATTAAGCCTTTCTGCTTTCTCTCTGTCCTCTGACAGAGTTTCTCCATTTTCACCCAACAGTGGGCCCATCACTACTTTTATCTTGCGTTTGCTCCTCACATATCTGAAGAAAAATTTCTTGTTGTAGTGAGCCTCCCTGGCCAGCTTTAGCTCAGTGTGAGCTTTGGCCTCTGATGGCTGACAAATACTCTTCTTTAGAGGTATGTCCTTGCCTCCATTTCTTGAACATTTCCTTTTCCTCCCTAAGCACATTATGGAGTTCTCTGTTCATCCATACTGGTTTCTTGGATTCCCTTCAATGTTTCCTTCTTGTTGGAATAGCGATGGCTTGAGCTTGCAAGAGCTCTTGTTTTAGGAGAGCCCACCCATCATTTTTGAGGAGCTGCGGTGGCTCAAGTGGTTAAGATGCTGAACTGCAGGCTGTGGAAGGTCGGTAGTTCAGCAGTTCGAGACCCGAGTGTGCTGCATGACGGAGTGAGCTCCCGTCTCTAGTTCCAGCTCCTGCCAACCTAGCAGGTCGAAAGCAAGAAATTGCAAGTAGATAAATAGGCACCACTTCGGTGGGAAGGTAACAGCGTTCCGTGCGCCTTGGTGTTTATTCATGCTGGCCACATGACCACGGAAACGTCGTTGGACAGCGCTGGCTCTTCGGCTTTGAAACGGAGATGAGCACCGCAACCCTAGAGTCGGACTCGACTGGCTTTCGAGCAAGGGACCCTTTACCTTTACCTTTACTTTACCCATCATTTGCTCTTTTCCCTTCCAGCAAAATTGCCCATGGAATGATTCTCATAATGTCTTGGAGTTTATTAAAGTCTGCCCTACTGAAATCTAACATACACATGTGGCTATGAACTTCCTTCGTTCACCACAGCAAAAGGAATTCTAGCAGGACACTGTCACTTCCCCCTAAGGTCCCCACCACCTTCACCCCATCTACCATCTGTTGCCTGTTGCTTAATATTAAGTCAGGTATGGCTGAGCCCCTCATAGCTTCCTCCACCATTTGATGAAGGATGTTGTCAGCCAGACAGGGCAGGAACGTGCGTGATTGTGGACACTGCAGAGTTTATCTCCAAGTACACATCAGGGAAAATGAAACCACCTATAACCATCAGGTCACGTTGTTTGGATACCCTGTCAAGCTGTTCAAGAAGGACAGCATCCACCTCCTCATCCTGGTCAGGAAGTCTGTAGCAGACTCCAACCACAATACTGTTTGTCCTTCCTTTCCTTATCCTCGCCCAGATACTTTCCAGTGGGCTGTCACTCTCCTCCTCTAGTATTTCCTGAGAAACCCTCTCCTCACATACAGCACCACTCCACCTCCTCTTCGACCCTTTCGGTTTTTCTTGAACAACTCATATCCATCCACTACTATGTTCCAGTCATGGGAATCATCCCACCAAGTCTCTGTAATGCCTACTAAATCATATCCCTCTGAGTGCATTAGAAGCTCAAGCTCTTCCTTCTTATTGCCCAAGCTTTGGGCATTGGTACATAGACACCTGAAGCATCGCACCTTTGGCTTCATTAGACCCGGCCCTCCCAGGTGGGCCTCTGTTGTTTGCTCTCCTTCATTTAAATCCCTATGTTGGTTGTCTCCTTCCCCTTGTCATGTCAATTTAAAGCCCTCTTGATGAATCTCCCAAGTTTCTGCCAAACACATTCTTCCCTGACCTTGACAGGTGAAGTCCATCACAGCTAGTAGCTTGTCGTCCAGAAAACCTAGCCCGTGGTCCCAGAAGCTCAGACGCTCCTGCTGGCACCACCAACGCAGCCAGTAGTTCACTTCCATTATTGTC